TCATTTAGCACCTGTGATTAACTGCTCAGCTGGAATGGACGCCATGAGACACACAAATCCCCAAGGACAAGGGCTGGGAACCCTTAATCTAGGAGGTTTTGAAATGTTGCACTCTTAAGATGTTACTCTTCCCTCACGGGATCAATAAAGTATCTATCTAGTTCTGCAATTTCCCTCACGGGATCAATAAAGTATCTATCTAAAAAGAATGATGGGGTTATAGGCTGAACCTAGGTGCAATATAAAATGTACACAATCAGAAATGTACTGTGTGCAATGCCCACACATTGCCCATGAATTTCAGTGATTTGGTGGCATGTGAATAAAATAAGATCCCCGAGATGGAGGTCCCAGAGACAGCTGCAAGAAAATTCTCCATTTACATTATCTGTAATTTTTTAAAACAAAAATCCAATTTATCGACAGTAAAATATCAGACACAAACCAAGTTTCATGCGCAAACATCTATGATTTTACCAGGGGTTAAAGCACTGTTGAAAATAAATTTACTGTAAGCATCTTTTCATTCTTTCTTTGCAGGGTAGCATTTGCAAGGATTGTCTATACTCCTCGTTCTGCATCTGCTGTTCCTGGTGCCAGATAGCCAGAGAGATGAAAGCACGAACCCAAAATGTCACTTTAATTAATGCTAAGCCGGTCTCTCTTGTCACATCCCACTTGGCATGACCAAAAGACCATGCCAGCCTTCATCTTGACCAGGACAGTCTTCATCTTCTCCTTCTGTTGCACAGAAAACTGGAAGACCAGAAAAGGTTGAACTTTTTTTTTCAACTTCTGAACACGTATGAAGCAGTAATGTCCCTGAAGAAGGACTTGGGAGCGCAACAGACAAAGCACACAATCTTGTAAATGAAAGAAAAAGTGATTAATTAATTTGTGATGCAAAGGAAAAACAAACCTGAGCTTATCAACTAACCTTATTAACAATTGGAATTAATTTGACCACAATCCCTTTTCGATTTCCCCTGGAAACAGGAATTCTGGATACACAGGTCTATTTAGTAAGAATGTAAAAGAACCTTTTTAAAGCTATTGTTTCATATCTCAGAAAAGCATAATAGCCAGTTATGTTTTTATATTAAGAAGTACAATGTGAAGAAATCCATTATCAGATGTTTTGGGGGTAAATGTGAAATAAATTGCCTTTGGATTGCAGTCTGATTTACTAACTACTTCAGTTTGTATTATGCTGCTGTTAAAACTGTATTAAAAAAGTACTCTTAACTATTGCCTAGTTTATCTAAAGAATGATTTCTTCCACCAGCCTTGATTGTCACACATTATTTTTATATGAGACAGAATAACATTGGCCTAAATGGTTTGAAATATACTGCAAGAGAAAAAGTAGAAGTTCTTGCTTTTTAAGTAGAAAGCTCATTGTTATTTATTCCTGTAATTTCCAAAAGAGAACTTAAAGGCATGGTCCCACAGAGGTTAGCATTGATGTCTCACACTGTTAGGGTCCTAGGTTCAATACCAGACCTGGATGGGCTATCAGTGTGAAGTCTGTAAAGAAAACTGGCCTCTGGGAAAACTGACCTAGGTATGAATGCCCGCATGTTTATGTCTGAGTTTGTGTGGACGCCCCACAATGGAGTGGTGTCCCGACCAGGGTGAACCCCCTTCCAAATGTGCTTTTTGTTTCCCAGGATAGGCTCCAGGTATTGGACAAAGCACCAAGAAAATGAAAGAATGGAGAAATTCTAAGAATGATGAAATTACCTAATGAATCTAAAGGGAAAGAATACTTCATACTTTGCTGAAAATGCACGGATTCTAAAGCAGTATAAGATCCAAAACTAGGTTTAATATTGTGACGGAAAAAAGCTCCCATCATTTTAAATGATTTTAAATATCAAATTATCTGACAATGCTGTCTTTTGACTGGGTTTCAGGAAACGTGCAACGCTAAAGCATCCAGCATTCACAAACGCATGCAAATCTGATTCCCTACCACAACATCTTTGCATAAACCTTTGGCAGTTCCTTGCAACATCACACACTTTATGTACATGCAGTATGTAATAAACCCAAAGTTGGTAAAGGCTGAGACAGTTGTAACATACAAAATAGCCATTCTCTTTCCAAGTGCCAGGAATCATGAGGTAAGTCAGATTCTTATTTTATTGCAAGAAGCTGGAGGTTTTATAAAATGACTCCTTGTTACCTCCTTTCCTTTGATATGAAACGATGTGGAGAACGACAATTCACCGAGCAAATGAAGCATACAGGCATAGCTGACACCTAATTGTTGTGTGCATAACATTTCATCACCAGGAAAAAAAAAACACACTCCTTAAATACCACACTGTTTCCTTTTAAATATTTAGTGGCTAAATATTTAAAATGATAAAAAAAACAATCTGGCCTATTTAGTTTCATTTTTAATTTCTGAAATGAATGCATGCCCCAAGCACCGTGCCATAATTTCCCATTCAAATGAACAGATATCAAAATATGTCTTTCCGAGTACTACAACTTTTCGGTGTAGATAACTTTGAAAGAGAAAAAATAGAATATTGTCTATCTCAGATGTAGATTGGCATTTGTTATTTTTAAACCCTGCTGTCTGGCTACTAGCCTAGGGCAAAGATAAAGCCTGGGTATCTCAATTACTCTCAGGGCACCGAAGCTGAATGTGATGGGTACCCTGTTGGATGTCCCCAATTTGGAGTTTGTAAATTGCAATTTAGTTCAATAGATAGCTCCTAGTGACCAGCTTTGCAGTTTAAAGAATGAAGATAGTATTGCCCAGCAATAAGAAGATACTGTAGTTGAAATAAAGGCTTCAGTGTTAGTACTTCACTTACACCTCCCTTACATCTTTCATACCATATGGGGTAAGAAAAGAAAGGTCTAAAAGATTCAAGTATTCAAAATCTTCAGTGGCACTGATAAATTCAACCCAGCAGACTTCTGCAGAGTCAAGTATGAACCAAGGGACACTAATGGATACTGTGTGGTAGTGTATTGAATTCTCTTAGTATTCAACCAAGTATTAGTTATTTGGAAACCTGAATCCTTCAAATTTTAATTTCATTCATATAAAGCTTCCCCAATTTAACTGGAAAACATACTGTATTAAATGGAGATAAGAACAAACCATACTCCCCTTTAATATGATTGGACAGGCACTACAAATACAGGTGGCCAAAACAGTTTCCTTGTACCTCTTCAAGTAAAAGAGCTCTGCTTTTGTTAGTCAGTGTCAGTTTTCTCTTCCCTTTATTTCTATCCAATCAACTCCACTTTCAAATTGGACCAGCAGCAGGTAAGACAAAACAGCTTTAGTGAGCTCAGTTTTTACAAACATCCTTTTGTTAAATATTACAATTAATCAAAGTTTTTTGTTTTCATTTTAGTTGCTGCTTTTAAAAAATCTAAATATTTGAATTATTTGTGAATCATATTATTGAGGTTTAGCAAATACAAGGCAACAGGAATGCAACACTAAATAATAAATTAAAACATTGTGTAGTAAATTTTATTCCATCATTCCATTCCAGGTGTATTTTTGGCACTTCAGTATAAGACAAAAATAACATAAATCAGTAAAAAAAACAGTACCAATATCATAGAAAATTGTAAATAGTCTGAAACACTTTGCTACTATCAAACACAAACATTTTTTTTCTTGTGGGAAGTAATAACAATAAAACATTTAGTTAAAAAGTCAGACACAGGTGTTTCAGAGACACATTACGTGATTACAAAAATGCAGCCTTGTGCTGTTTATGTTAGACATTTACTAACATATACTGTAGCTTAGAAATAGGACATAGAAATGCAGTTTCTATCACATTCAACTGCTTCACTAGCAATTTCCTCCTTTGAGAAAAACAGAATAGTTTCATTGAAGTGTATGATCAATGAACTTTGTGTAATTCAGACTTATCACGCATCAGGGTGTGGTCATGGTGTTGACATGTCAGTGGTATTTGGTTTTGTTTATGGGATTCTGTCCTTTAAAACTGAGTAGCTGGTAAAACATGAACAGTTAGTGCTGCTGTCTCACAGCTCTCAGGGGCTGAGTTCGATTCTGGTGTGGAGATCCCATGGTCTCCTTAATGTTCCATCATCCAGGACTTGCTTCTTAGGTTAATTGGTGTCTCTACTGCTGTGCTTCTTGGGCAGGTTCTGTGTTGCCACAACCCTTATCAGCTCTAAAGGGCTTTATGATAATGGATAAATATAGCTTATTGAAATGCAAGCTGGCCAAACAGGAATGTCCTATATGCATTTATCTCAAAAGTGTGTTGAAAAAACATTTGTGTTTTTGCTGTTGTTGTCCCAAATTGCTTTCTATCTTAAAGCATTTTACAGAAAGTGGTGCAGGATTGTATTGGCCTGCCATTTCACTCCTGGGCTAACCTGCTGATGATGTTTTAAGAGTAGAAATGCAAGAGAAGCTGAAGAAAGAGAGAGCAGGCAGAACATTACTGTTCCTTCACAGGAATGCAAGGGCTTCTGCTCCAGAAATGGAAGCCAAAATGAATATGCTGTAACAGAGCAAAGGAATCTCTGGTGTAGTTACAGGAGTAGAACACTAGAGGGCAGCCAAAGAACGCTTCACGGGCTGAGCCTATTGGAGAAATCATCTTCATAATATAATTTTTTAACGACACTTATATTGCTCTTTCCTGGACACTGCAATCAAAGCGCTTTTTACGGTTAAGGGGGACTCCCCCTTCACCACTACTACTGTGCAGCATCCACCTGGATGATGCGACAGCAGGCATAGTGCACCAGACCGCTCACTACGCATCAGCTATTAGTGGGGTGGAGAACAGAGTAATGGAGCTAGTTCATAGTTGGGGATTATTAGGAGCCATGATTGGTAAGGTCCAATTGGAAATTTGGCCAGGACACTGGGGTTTCACCCCTACTCTTTTCAAGAAACGTCCTGGGATTTTTAATGACCACAGAGAGTCAGGACGTCGCTTTTACGTCTCATCCGAAGGAAGGTGCCTTTTTACAGTATAGTCTCCCTCTCACTATACTGGGGCATTAGGACCTACATAGACCACAGGGTGAGTGCCCCCTGTTGGCCCCACTTACACCTCTTCCAGCAGCAACCTTAGGTTTTCCCAGGAGGTCTCCCATCCAGGTACTGACCAGGCTCACACCTGCTGAGCTTCAGTGGGTTGCCAGATGTGAGTTGCAGGGTGATATGATCTTCAGCTGTCAGCGAGCTCATTTCGCAATGTAAACCATCTCAGAGAGAAAGGGGTGTAATCCAGCAGCTGGGTTATACTGGGTTATACTGGTGAGGTGTCATGCATGAGATCTGAAGTGGTGTTCTCTGTACATTACAGGTTTAGAGGTGAAACTAACAAACTGACAAGTTTGTCAGACTTCTGAAAATAAGTGGTCTACAGGGATGGAGATGGAAATATGACGTTTTCTCAAAAGTTAAATAAACTTTCTTGACCCACTTTTGCTGTATCAGAAGCAGTAGTACTGCAGGCATCATACCTGTCCCTGGCCAAACAGGACTAGCCAGTTCTAATAGGGTTGTAGCCACACTGAAAGTAGAATGCCTGTAGATTTGAGGACCAAACCAGGGAAAGTAGGTCTTGAAACAAAGAGCAGGGGTGCTTTGGCCTCAGCTTTTCTGATTGTAGAAATATGTTTTTAGGTCCTCCAGACCAAGCTCCCTTTGTAGGAGCATCTGCTGTAAAACATATCACAAGAGTGATTCAGCATTACAGATAGTCATGTTTGAAAGGGACCTTGGCCTAGGTTCTTAAATCTCTTCATCAAGTTGATGTGGGAAAGTAATAAAAAGCAAACAGAAAGTTTGAATATATAGCAGAAACGTGTACAATTCAAATGCATGTTATGCATAAGCTACGCCATACTCTACTGAGACCTAATTTGGAACATTGTGCTCAGTTTGGTTACACATACCACAAAAGAGACAAAGTAGCGTTAGAAAGAGTTTAATATTAGAATGATTCCTGGTCTTTGAGGACTGTCATATACATATAGGTTAAAATAGTTAAATTCCCACAATCTAGAACAGAGGAGATATTAGGGTGAACTCAGATGGCTATTTCCCACTCAATAGTGTAACAAAACTTGGGATTCTAATTGGAACGTAATTTAACATGGCTCAGGTTTGACTTGTTTAAGCACACGGAGCAATTTTAGACAACTTCGAAATCTGTGTTATCATTTTTGCTTTAAAAGGGTCATTGTCCATATTCTTAGCTGTGACACATTGGCTCAATTGGTCATTTGGACCAATCCAAATCAATAATGACACTGGGAGTCTCGAATGAGGAAGGCAGTACCAAATGAGATGGTCAATAAATTATGTAGTATAGAAAATTGGATGTATTTATGTATGAGGGCTGGAGTGTTATTTTTTTTAACTGCAATTTCTCAACATAAACCAACCCACCCTCTCTGAAAGTGGACCATCCCATCTGGCATTTGGCTGAACTACGTGACAACCATGGTCCAGCCATGGTTACCATCCCATGGGAATTGTATTAATGGACAGATGAAAGGAGATACATTCTTCTAACAAAACAAATGACCATTAAGTATAGAAAATCATAAAGGGTACACACAGTGTCAGAAATAATGAGGGGGGGTGGATGGGAAATCAATAAACTCCTTGTTTATTTGAAATTATGTCGCAAAGTTTGCTTTCTCAGCAAATCTTTTCTGTACAAGAAAATAACCAAAACAAAACCTAACCACTATTGAACTTCTTACTATACTTTGATAAGAAGTTTTTCCCCAACTATACTAGAGGTCGAGTTTATTCCAAACCACTAAAAAATAGTCTTTTAACTAGAATTATTTTACTTACTTCTCTCTCGCTCTTTCTCTCTGTTCACCAGTCTCCTCTGTTCCCCTGGTTTATCACAGCTGACTCATCAGCTTTGTCAATAGGTGAACTTGCAGTAATGGAGGCCTTAGTCTCAGTTTCGCTGACTGACCACACCTGATTCTTTTCCAGCTCTGAAATGGCTTCTATCTACGGAAGCCTCCCAGTGACCCTCCAGTCAGAAATATCGATTCCTTCTTAGAGGACATTTTTTTAAATTTTGCAGATGTTACAGGAATATTCCAAAAATGGTGTCTTTCAACCATTATCAACGCAAATGGAATTTTAACTTTAATACATTTCACTTCCTCCCAAAATTCAGTAAACCATTGTCACAGGGTCTAGAGTGGATATGTTTTTCTGATTTTGTGACAGAAAGAACTGACCATTGTATCAAAAGATAAACAGGAGCAAGACAGGGTGTACCCATAATTCCTCTCATCTATGGCACTGATTGGACTGGTGCCATCCCAACTTCTCATGTTTCTTACATATATTTTCAGGGATACCTGCTTGTATTAATAGGGGAAGAGGAAATTTTGTTTCTTAAACAATATACTGTAAGTTACTTATAAGAAAAACACAATGATATTCAAAGCTGCATACTGTATCTGTTTTCAGACACGAAGTTGGCATGGCAACACACATCACCTTCCAGCAGCCCCAGCCAGTCATGACGCAGCAAGTAATTCAGCTCCAGTCGAATCAGTGGAGCACAGGCATCACCGACTGCTGCTATGACATGAATATCTGTAAGTCCAACTCTCTGTTTCGTACTTGAGATAGTGTTGGTGGACCATTTCCTCATTCTTGTGTACAACATGAAAAGGTCACTTCTTCCCAGTTTCTTTATTGGTGTGAATGTGCTTGTGCACAGAGAGACATATAGATGCAGCATCATGAAAGAGTTTCAGCTCATTAGTATATTTTAGAAATTGCAAGATTTCTGTTTGGGGTAGGTTTTTATTTAAAGGGAACTGCAACACCATTTTTACATTTTGGGGTTATGATGAATCAGCAATGATGAGTATATTTCAAACCACAATAAAACTACCACATAATTTGAAGTGTACATTCTTCAAATTACAAAGTTTCAATGCATGCATAGTACCATATTGCCATCATTGTCTGTGATTCAAAACCCAGTGACATGAAGGTGCCTCTATTACACTGTAAACATGCTTTAGACCAACTGAATTTTGCTATTATATAAATTTTAAATATTTTCACGAAACCCACACATACAAGGTGGCATGTTTCATAGATATTTTATCTATGCAAAAAAAATATTTTTGGTTGCAAAAAAAAGAGCAACCAGCCAACCAACTAAAATACTCACATATTCATTTTCAAATTTGAAACAGCTATGTTTCAAACCTGAACAGTTGATTTGAATGAGTGAAACTGAATTGAATTCAACAAAGCAATTTTGAGATGGTTTAGTCAACAAATACTATGTGTGAACTCAGCAACAGATAAATTTGGGTTGAAATGTCTGCTGCACAACCTGTGCCTATTCGAACGTACATCACGCTGAATCTTGTCATGAAAGTCTAAGGGACCAGCATTAAGCTCCATGTCTATTACCAGTCTCTTCATTAGGTGACAATCCCTTGGAAAAGGAAATAGTTTGACTTCCTACTAATCCAATCCACTGCTTTGTGTGTGACGACAATGTTCTGAACAGCCAAATGCTCAACAGTGAGGCAATGTTTGAGATACATGTGTGTATGTGAGTTCAGAAAGACAAAATAAAGGATTCATGTTGTTAGGAGAACAAGTTTCCCATTCCTTTACAGCAAAGGGACATTTTTAGGTTTCGTGCAAGCTCTCGCTCTTGCCCTTGGCGAGAGCAGTGGTTTGTTGTCTGCCTGTGACAACATGGCAACATGAAGTACTATCAGAAGGTTCATGACTTTACCCTTCACTCACAATTTGTAAAAGTTTGCAAAATTTAATTTATTTTGTGACCCAGATTTAATACCCGGTCTGAGAAACTGGGACAGCACTTCGCCTTTAACAATTTTTTTTTACCAAAAATGATTAGAACCTGGGCATTAAAACAATAGAAAAATCTACTCACATGTGTTGCAAGAGGGTCTTAGGTTCAGACAAGATATAGGATCTTTTCTGAATTACATAATGCCACCTTTGTTCACCAGACCATTATTTGGAGGATGATGAATTCTCAGGATGATGACAAAGGGCAGTAGGTTCATTCCCCCACAGAATTCTGGGAAATGAAGATCCGCCATCTTGTCTAAGAAGCTCAGGAGGAGGTCAAATTCTAATTTCACCCACTTGTACTCCCCTACTTATAAATATCTCTTCTCGTGAACACACACTTTCGTCTCACCCCTCCCTCCACTCCGTCTTCACCCATACGGCAGCTCCCTGACTCATTCCTTCAGCTTCATTCTCATTGGCGGGTTGCCATTTCCTCAGCCAGGCGAGTCATGCCAAATAGACTTTCAACTTGTTGTCTCAAAGAACTGAGGTGCATTAATTAGGGTGTGACCAAACTACAGAAATATTGTTGGAGTTAACAAGGAAAAATGTCTATGTTGTTTTTGAAGGTTGTTGTGCTACCTGGTGTTTCCACTGTTTCGCCGGCAATACCAGCAGTGATTTTGGAGAGTGCTTCTGTCTGCCGTTACTCTTTTTTTCTGGGTCACTGGCCTTGCGAGTTGCAGTCCGGGAGCGTTATCATATCCAGGTACCGGTCACCCTCAGAAGCCCAACAGATTCGGCAGGTTTCAGTCACTGTGAGAAGTTCTGGTCCTTTGGGTTGTGCTCAATTTCAGTAATTTCAAATAATTCATATTGCTATGGTCCACGTTTCCCCAATACAAACTGCTTCACTAATACGTTTTCCTATGTGAAACTTTGTGAAAATAATTAATTTGGGACAACTCAAGCCCAGATCACATCCAAAGTAATTGTGGGAAAGTGCAAAACTTACTGTAAGTTCCCACCATAAATGTCTTTATCTTAAGGAATTTAGACAAAATTGAGCACAAAACTAAACCAAAACCATTAACCAAAATGCAGCTTAATCAATTAATATTATAAAAGAGATCATTGATATATGCGTTCTCTAATAATAGAAAATGACTTTTCTCATGGTCAAAGGTGCAGTCTCCTGTCAGTCCTTGTGATGTCACAACTTAATAATGTATGTTTTTTTAATCATGTTTCAATGTGCATTCGTTTGAATATATTTAACCCCAGTCTGGTTAACTGATTTTAGGAAAAACTTGTCTTCGACTTGGCCGGATCCACTCTACCTTAATCAATACCTTCCTGTTTGGTGGACACAGCATAAACAAGGGATAAAAGTATACTACAGAGCCAAGTTTAAACATAGGAAACCAATGCACAACAATGGTACACATAAGGAAAACATGCAGAAGGGTTCAGGGATGTTTGAATAACTTCTGTTCTGTGTTGACAGGGCAGTATCTGCCACGACTGCATGTACGTGACCTTCTGCAACATCTGTTCCTGGTGCCAGATTGCCCGGGAGATTAAGAAACGCAAGGCGGGAATGAATTTAATGATCATCCAGGCCACCGGCTTTCCTCCAGGAGTCCGTTATTAACCAGAGAGCAGAAAGCGCCCCCAATTCTGCTGGCTCTTTAGATGGCAAATACTGTGCCATCGTTCTTTCCAATGTGTTCATATTTCTTTTTTCTTTATTGTGCGTATGACTGCATTGTAATCTGTGTTCATGCCTTCAACGACTGTGTAAGAAATCCAGTACCACGTGGGTTTCTCACCATTTGTTGAAGAAACTCTTAACTCCTCTGTAGTATATTTAGCCTCTGATAACATGGAAGCAATTTAATTAACACCCCAAACCTGGGTAAAATCAATTTCACTTTTGTGTTGTTACATCAGAACTTCCATTATTTTCCTTTTTTATTTCAATATTTAATTGCAGCAATACAAAGCCTGAGATCTCATGGTTTGGGAAAGACAAGATTTGAAAAGTCTTGGGAAAAGGAAGGGCACCCCTAAGATATTGCAGATATACAGCATTTAATGAAGCAGTAACAGATAATGTTTCCAATGGGCAATATCAATCCATCCTATTTTCTAAACCTTTTTTATCCAGGACAGGGAAATGGGGGATGCTGGAGCCCAACCTGGCAAGCTATGGGTGCAAGGCAGGATACATCCTAAGTGGGACACCAGTACTTCACAGGGCACACACAGACACAAATATTGACATGCACACACTCACACCAGTGCCAATTTTACTGACACAAATTAACCTTCTACTATGTCTTTTGACTGTAGGAGGAAACCTACATGAACACAGAGAAAACACAGAAGCTCCACACAGATAACACCTCAGGTCTAGGAATGGACAATTAACTTGTGAGATATCAATGCTTATTGGGCAATAGGACCAAATCCTGATTTGATCAGATGGGATCCAGAATTAATTCACATATTTCTAACACCTCAGATATATAGATGTTGTTGACTGTCTCAGAAAAAGACCTAAGATTTATATCAGTAAAGCAAATACTGATTTTTTGTATGCTACCTATGCTATATTATGTTATTTTAAATTACCATCTGGGAATAGAATATAGTTGCACACAGCAATCTAATAAAGGGAAAAGGGTTTGTCTTCCAATATTTAAGTTTGAATCTTGCAAGAGTATTTTTAATGTCTTACTAATGCCAAATGAGTCAGCTAAATGCAGAACTTTAAGGAAAGTGATTACTTGTCTGTATAGGTTGGTTCAGAAATGTCTGGTTACAGTACCTGTAAGAAAAGATATGTATCCAAAGTACCACTAAAGCTACTCATATTGCAACTTCCTTTCTGAAACTGATTTAATTTGGAGCAAGTGGCTATATTTAGAAGGCTTCATATTCATATATATATATAAATAACTATTTTCACAAGTTTTTTAAAGCTTTCTGATTGATCACTGCCAAAATGGCATTAAAATGCAATGGGACCTTAAATAAACTTTAAGAACTTAACATAACTGTGGTTAACAGTATACAAATGAAAAATGTGTGTTTTTCTGGATGATGTGCATTTTGTGCTACATGATGTTAGCTTTAGTTTGTTGTGAATTACACAACTATAACCTCTAATCGTGTGGCCTGTAGCTAAACTGTTTCCTGTGAAAGATCGCACTGATTGTACTACTGTGCAGAAATGTACTATCATTACAGACACTACAATACTTCCTGCTCTTGATCTGTTTATTTCATATTAACCAGTACATGGAGCTGTGCCTTACATCTTACAGTGCTTGCTTTAGAAAACTTAAAAACAAATGTCCTAAATGTAAATAAAAAATAAAATTTCCTAAAAACATTTAAAACCTTCCCTTCAAAGCCTGTTCTGAAGGATTTCACAGGCAGACAGCTATGCAGAAAGTACCAAGCAATGAGGGCTTGACAGTGCCAGCAGCAGAACCCCAAGATTCCTCTGTCCTCCATAACAGCACCATGAATCCAAGTAGCAAAGTTCTCCATTTGAGTCATGCTGCAATAGGACAGGATTGAATGATGTATGGGGAAGGAATGTGATGGATTTCAATGTAGAGCCAACATCTTTCTACCTTAGTAAGATCAACTGACCAGGTCCATTGCTAGGACCAGGTGAGGAAAAGAAATATACTGGACTAAGATTTAAAAAAAAAACATTTCCACAATCTAACCACATCTAACCGCTGGGGAAATGGGAATAACCTGTGAACACCTTAAGACTCTGGAAAATAGGAGAGAAGCAGAGGCATTTTTCTTGAGTTCTTAACCACAGGCTAATTGGTTTCATATTTCCATATGTTTGAGCTTAATGCCACTTGGGAACAAGTTAAGCCTGACATGCGTTGCCAGACTTGGGCAAAGGAGTCTGATGTTGAAACACCTGAAATTTCAGTCAGCCTCTGGATACATAACTGTTGATATGCTCAATAGCAGCGAGAATGCACATCATCATGAGCATAGTTGTCTTCTCTGTGACAAGGAAATCCAACTAATACAATTCCACCTGAACACCAATACAAAAGCACCTGAAAACATGCAGAGCTCCAATTTGTTACTTTTGAGACAACACAAATGAGGCTAGTTCTCAAACTCAGAAATTGGCATAGAGCTGATAGTAATTGTATATCACATTGTGTTTTTTTAAAGGCTGAAACAGATGTGAAAATCTGTCTCCAAGAGAAAATGAAATTCAGCCTGTGATTAAAAAGTCCACTGGAACAAAAGAAAGAAGGCACAGAGGTCTTCCAGGAACAGGGCTGGGAACCACTGCACTATTGCATTTTTTATTGACCTTTAGAGTGCATAGAACACTTTATGTCTTTTCTCAGCTCAGACTGTAAGCATGTTGACTAAAGTAGTGTCATGAGCAAATCACCTATGCATTTTTGGATACAACATGCACTATCTTCAGTAAATAGGTGTACATACTGTAGCTAAACTCCACTGGTGTTATCTGTGGAAACATTATTATCAAAAAGTGTGAGATGTCTTTCAGAATGTAGGGTGGACCTTAGTTGGCATTGTAATTTTGTGCAGCATTTTAAAATTGACTTCATGAAGTTAAGTTCTCAAAATATCTCAAAATACACTCCCAAAATCTGGGTGTACAAAAGAACAGATCATAGTTTATTTTTCCAAGGAGAAATATATGAAGTGTTATCTTAAGGTCATAAGGTATGATGATTCCAAAAGTCTGATGATTCTGATGGCTTTTCAGGAGTGTCATTCCATTACTTCCCTAAAGTTAATGTCCCCTTTTAACACTGCATGGCAGTCTTGAGCTTAAAATATTTAATTGTTCATGTGCATACATCAAGTGGCTTAAAAATACATATCATACACTTTGTCTAAGTCTGGTTTGGAAAATATTTAACCCCTTCATCAGTCCTCTAAAGATACAGTACTTATTGGGAAGTAACCAACAGAGAAACAGAGGTTAACTGGGCAAATCTTTCTCTGTCTTCATATGTCTCCTTCCATCTCTTTAAAGAGATACCTTAACCACCTGAGTTGCATACACTTATGTCTCTTTAAGTAAGCCTCAAAACCATGACCTTGATAAAACTAAAACCCCTTTCTAGATGTTAAAATCATTTCACTAGAGCCAACGGCTTCCAACAATTAGATGCTTTGTAAATATTTGGTGAAAAAGGTTTGGTTTAACAGGCTTGGTTAATGGGCAGTCGTGCCCCCTTCAGAGAGAGGAGTAAACTTCAAGGCAGAGATTGGGTGGAGGAGGGTAGTTTGAGACAAATGTGGGGGGGGTTGTGTTTAATTTATAGAGCTCATTTCATAATTATGGGGATTGTGAACAGCTTCTCACTGACTTGTCATTGCTGTTCCTCCTGAATTTCAGTCAATAGCTTTAATTTAAACCTCACAAAGCAACAGCTGCTTCATTACAATCCCCAAGTGTTATCTGTCACTTTTGATTACTTTCCCCCATTATCATGAACATGTAAATAATAAGTGAGCATAAACTCCTACAGTAGCTCAGTGCTTCCCATTCTGTATTTATGCTTCATGTTTTTGCTACTTGCATGCAATACCCTGCGCTTGTCTACATTCAAATGTTGTTTGCCGCCTGTTGTTATTAATTCATAAACCAACCCCTAGCATTAGGAACAGCAAAGGCTTTCTTTTTAAAACGACTTTCCTTTTCGCTATACAGTATATAGCAATAACAATAATACTCATTTTAAGATGTATGCCAATACAGTCATATATACATTTCAATAAGGAGAACATTCTTGCTAGTATTTCAGATGGGACATGACAGCACATGGAGAAGGAAGGTGCAGTGTGTCAATATATGTCAAGGTGTGCTGCTCAATTCCTTTTAATGTGCAGGATGATTAATTCAATTGAAAAGAATGCATACATTTTAATCTGCAGGTGAGACTTTACACAACTCTACAGTTGGACAGACAATATTGTCTGTCCCTCTGTCTAAATGGAGAAGGCAGTGGATTTATACTTATTTTTCAGAAATACAACTGACTAGTTGTGGTTTTTGTATATTTCTTTTTTTTTGTCTAAAGATTATGGAAGCACATAAGTGGTCTAAATGTTTAATGTCTCAGAAACAGAGATGAATACCATTGAACTTTTGCCATTTGTAATTCTTTACATGTGAGGGGAGGTCCAGTGAGGCAGGTGAAAAGGCCCAGACATTTTATATTGTAAGACGTGTGCAGATAGTGTAGATATCAGTGTTTTACCAATATAAGAAAGTAATGCTTTGCCTGCCTTTAAAAGTGACATCTAAAAGCACTTTACAGTAGGTGTAAAAACTGTTAAAACAAACAAAAAAACAATTATATGAATAGCAAATTACAAAATGAGCACATACTGTATAAGAAAGACAAGCAGTTAGAACTGCAGCACAAATTATATGGTCATTAGAAAATGGAGCAGACACAGACACTAAGTAAAATTCTTTCTGAATAGAAAGGTTTGGAGTTTAGATCTGAATGCACTTAGGGTAGGTGACTTTCTAATATCCTTGCGGATAGAATGCCAGAGCTTTGGGACGTAGCGAGAGAAGGTCTTGTCACCCATAGAGTGTACACAAGCTTGAGGGACATCTAGGGGACCAAAAACAGACGAACAAAGGTTTCAAGGTGGAGAATTGACAGATAATGAGTCAGATACTGTAGGTATTGAGGTACCAAGCCGTGTAGAGCCTTATACTCAAGGTGAGCATGAGAATTTTGAAAGTTACTCAAAACCTGATAAGAAGCCAATGTAAAGACTAACTGCCGAATTCTGAACATATTGGAACTTGTTCAGTGTGGATTTGGATACTTAGATAGGGTGTTACAGTAATCAATCCTAGAAAAGACAAATGAATTGATCAGCTTTTTTCCAAAACTCAAAGACAACATAGGATGGAATCGATATCTAATGGCAATATTTAATCAGGGAATCAGCTTCAACAAGATGCCCTCAAAGTTCAGTCCAGACTCCCGCAAACCTTTGCAGAAACAAATGTTTTGTGATTTCAGTCTGGAACAGATTCCATTTTTGTTGTAATTAATTCATATCTATTCTCTACCATTAGTCCTGAAGTAGGAGCCTCAATTAAATGTGCCTTTCAGGATGTTGAACACTTTCACTCAGTCGAACTCTGAAGGGGTTTGCTTCCTTTAGCTTGTCTGTACAAGACATTCCTTTACAGCCTGGAGTTAACACAACTGCCTTCCGCTTTACTGATTCCAGTGCAGCAATATCCTTTTTGTAACATGTCAAACTAAACAACCCACAGAACTCTTAATGAAGGCCTGCCATTTTGTTGCATAACTTTAAATGGAACTTTCCTTAACTAATTCTATGCTTTTCACAAGATTGAAATGTTTTGTCAACCATTTTTTTATTTCTTCACCCCGTGATATACAAATACAAGCGTTCCAACAAAAGCTTATCAGTGTGTAGGGATCCCAGCTGACAGCTTTTATATCCTTTGCTTGTACAGTAAGTGTCACAGTTAGTTTCTTCCTTTTTCTAATATTCATATGTGTCAGAAAAAAGAAGTGTACTACATGTGAAATGTGAGTCACAGTTCTAAAAATTGCTGTGTACGGTGTGACAGTTTTTTATACCATCTGGAGCTAGCTGGCTTCCTTCCGAGCCCCATGCAACCTGTAAAACAACTTCCTGATGCCTAGATTCCATCCCTACCTCCTTATTGAAAGTTTACTGTACCTCCCAGACATCTGCCCATTAATTGTCAACATTATCAACAGTTCCCTTTCCCTGGGTGTGGTCTCTACTGCCTTAAAGACTGCATTTATCACTCCTATACTGAAGAAACCTGGCTTGGACTCTGATATAATGATGAACTCCAGACCAATCTCTAATTTACCATTTCTATTGAAAGTTTTATAGCATGTGGTTGCACATCAGCTACAGACATATACTGTACTGTATGATGGCTAATGAGTTGTCTGAGCCATTTCAGTCTGGCTTCTGCTCAAATCAAACCACTGAGAATACCCTTGCCAGGATTGTGAAAGATTTACTTATTGCCTCTGACTCGGGGGCTATAAGTATCATTTTGCTTCTCGATTTTAGTGCTGCTTTTGGTAAAGTACATCATTCAGTGTTGCTTAGTCACTTGCAGACATTCTTGTCTATCAGTGGTACTCTCTTTAACTGGTTTTGCTCTTATCTGACTGGCAGGCAGCATTTTTTCTTCTCCTTTGGTCCTCATGAATCCCCCATGGCCTCAGTCAATCATGGGGTGCCTCAGAGTTCAGTCTTGGGCCCTTTGCTTTGTATTATTTATATGCTACTTCTCGGCCACATTAAACACAA